CTTGTTATCTCATTCCATTTGCCAGCTTTGCTCAATAGCTTTATCATACTCGTGATATTGTCATGAAAAGATTAATGGTGTCCTTATACGGATTAGTTTGCTATTTGAGGGCACTGGGTTGCAGGGGGATACTTGATAATCTTTATCAAAGGAAAACTGGTGGGATCTTTGATTGTTTTTCCACATGTTGCTTCTTTAAGATGTCGTTTCTAGCTTAGAAGCTGTACACACAGTTCATGACTGATAGACCACAATGATAATGCTGGTTGGTGGATTAATTTTTATCTGGATGTCACTTGAATAAAAATAGAATTCTGCTGCAAATGCAATTGCTAGAAGCTACTTCATCTTGTGTTATTATATATATTTCAAAATTTAGAAGCAAAATGAGAGTTTTTAAAAGTTCAAGAATGATTTTAAAGTTCAAGGAGTATCAGTGATAATAATCATTTTTTAAAACATTGTTTGTTTCACATGGCATGTAATTATCACCACGTTTCTGTTTTCTACAAATAAAATTTCCTTTTTAAATTGTATAAGTTAGTTTTCTTGGGGCTTTATTTTATGTTTTGAATGTGGAACGCTGATTTTTTTTTTCTTAATTACTCATATTTTTATTGTTAAAAAATCATATTTTTTTATTCTGATTAGTTTTGCCTTCTCCTTAAAAAAATCAATCTATTATTGATTTTAAAAAAATAAAAAATAAAAAAATCAATCTATATAATATATTAAGAGTTAATGTCAATTTTGACCCTCGTACTATGCTTCTTGTTCCATTTAGACCCTAAAATTTTAAAATGTTAGAAAGTGTTGCATAAATTATGCTCCTTATCCCATGTTTTATCCCTTTGAATCAACCATTACCATATTACACTCAAATGCTTAGTTAATAAAAGTATTTTAAATGAATCACACCTAAATAAATTCAAACATTGAAAAAGAAAATAAATATATATTTTTTCTACACAAGCTTCTTGGCTAATAAAATAAATCAAATTTATTTAAATTCACCTAGTAATTTTCCTAAAATATCTTTTTAAATCAGTGATACGGGTTCACACAATTAAACAAGTATTTTTAAATACTAAAAATAATTATATATATTTAAATTTCATATCATGTCTATTTTGGTCATTTTACATACCCACAGCAATTCCACCTCAAAATTTACCAAACGCTATTTACTGATTTTGAAACCAGCACAGCTACTATAATTATAATTTACCAAACACTTAGCTGCTTTTTAAAACAGCTGCTTTTTCTTTCAGCACAACTAAAAACATTTTTTTTAAAATCTACAGCATTACCAAACTAAGCCACGGTCTTTTTGCCCGGACTGCCGGGCACATGACAAAAAAAGAGTAAATTGTGAATTGTGAATGATTTCCAGTAATTATTTCTTTCAGGACCATCATCATCCTTAAACTTTACGGCAATTCGGCAACTATTGGGGATTCGACGGGTAATTAATTATGTTTGAAGTTTATGAATTGTTAATTATTATTATAAAGAAACGTGTTGTCGTAGTTTTAAAAGGTAATCATCTTGTTAGTTAGAGTAACTTTAATCATGTTAATTATTTCATATTTTTAGTTAAATTAGTTATTTCACACTCAAAAATTACTAGTTAAAATAACTTTCTAATCATTTTAATTAAAATTTAAAGAGTTTAGAGATTTTCTTATGCTCCTCCTCCTCTTTTTTTTTTTTTTTTTTTTTTTTTTTTTTTTTTTTTAAAGCAATAATGGCGAAAGCAATTACTTCCCATTAAAGGACCATATTATGCATCCAAACCACTCATCTTTCGTCCGTTTCTTTATGATTTTAAACTTTTAAATTATCTCATCACTTTTCCTAGTTGGTATCATCTTTTTGTTATCCAAGCAGAAAACTGAGGTTACTTTTGTAGTTGTAGCATTTTGTCCAACACATAAAGAGCTGCTTTACAATAGTTGCCGAACAAGAATGCTCTGTTCTATAACCAAATCGAAGTTTGATATTAGAAAAAGAAACTATGTGCTTGTACACTGTCAATCAAGTTTATATATATATATATATTTATATAAGGAAGTGTACACTGTCAAGTTAGTAGTTACCGACACTTCAGGGGCCTTAAATAGAAATATCAAAATTATATATTGAAACAAAAGTCCAATCATATTCCATATGGTTTCCACCAATAGGGGGATGTCTACCAACCTTGAACCTTCTTCCATCTATATGTGTTCAATTCAGCTCCCTATTGAAAAAAAAGATAGTTTACACATTCGTCCCGTAACTTGTAGGGTTTTTATAACTTATCCTCTAAACTTTTAATTTTAATAATTTACCTCCTCATCTTGTAAAATTGTTACAATTTTAATAATGAGTGTTTTAAATTGATAAAGAAAAAACACATTCAATGAAAAGTTCCATCATCACAATTCAAATTGTAATAGAAATCTCTTAATTTATCAACTCTCAATCCTTTAAACTTGAAAAAAAAATCATAGCAATATGAGATACATTACAACACAAGTTAAGAGGTAAATTTCTGAACTAGAAATTTAGAGAATAAGTTGTTAAAAGCCTAAGACAAACATATAAAATACGAACCTTCAAAGAACAGTAGGACGGTTGATCATCGTGTTAATGTCCATAGCTGTAAAAGAATGGGGGAAAAAAAAAACAAGGACAAAGACATATACCAAACTTGTGCTTATCCTCTTGCATGTACTTGACTAGTTTTCAAAGTTAAGTTAATTAACTTGCATGAGTCCTAAATTCAAAAGGTTAACCAATAATATTTCAAAAAATATTTTCATAATCCAGAAAAGGTCCCCATTAATATGACGGATTAAGTGTTTGTGCATCTCTTTCTAAGCACCTTTTTCACATTTATTTTTATTTTTTATTTATGTCCCCACTACAAATAAATCCTTGGGACCCATTTTAATTGTATTTTCCACCATACTATAATTATTATAGGAACATTCTACCACCAAAACAAAAAAAACAAAAAAAAAAAAACTATTATAGGAGAAAATATAACCTTATCAAAATACGATAAATGCTCCTGGTTTAAATTAATAAAAAAAAGTCTCTTATTTTCACGTAAAAAGTATACCTCATGTTAAATTTTGGTCAGGCTCTAATTTATTCTTTTTAAATGGCAGAAGTACCCTTCTAAGCACGTAAGCAATCAACATTCTAGTGTTCATTTATTAGGGCAACTTCATCTTTTTACATTGTTAGTTTGAACATAATTAAATGTGGAATAGTTTTAGATGATTCTAAAACTTATGATACTTGTTTTGTATTAGTTTATTTGTGCTACTTTGATAAAGCACATGATAGTATTTGGATTTTCTCTCATCACAAACAGGGGTGGTGCTACTTGGTGCTGATTTAAAAGATTTTATTTTTAGTTTTTTATATTTCAAAAATCCGTGATTTGTCCATTTTTTTCTTGCCATTACTAAGATTCCATATTCCCCTATATGGTCCAATTAAACTTTTCATTTTTATTTCTATTTTAACTCTAACATCTCATTAATTTGGTCGATACAAGAACTGACATGCATGGGGTGTTGGCCCATAGTTGGCTGTCGGGTTCCTAGCTCGACAGAGGGAGCGACACACAGGTTCTGACATTCATGGAGGTAACATACAGCAGCCTATGGCTGGAGGCGTGTAATGCTGGTGAGTCAGCGGCGTGTCTGGTGGAGGCTATATATGAGGAAACACTGAAGAACGCTGCTGGAATTAATGAGAGGAAGATGCGGCTGAAAGAGATCCGCCTCGGCGAGCTTTGATCGTGGCTTTTTATGATCGAATGTGTCGATGCAAAAGCTTGTCTGAAGGAGATCGACCATGATGAGATGGGTTTATGGCCGGGGAGATCGGCCTACACGAAATACGGGGTTGGCCTGCCTTCAGCGTGCATCATCCACCTTTAGCGTTATCTCAGTCTTTTGTTACTTTTGCTTTCGTACAATAATGACGTTGATTTCTCCATAGCACCAGTTTTCTGTAATTTATTTGACTTTTTAACTCGTCTAATGTAATAATAATAAAGGTGATCTCTCCTCTCTAATTATTTATTTTTTACTATCTATAAAGTGAGTGACCTCTGTTTGTGATTAATTAGAGTTTTTTTTTTTTTTTTTTTATCGATTGTGCTAAAATAACCTAATGAGAGCTTAAACATAACGTATCTTCGCATTTTTCTGTCTGACAACCAGGCACATATATTTTTCTTTTTATCTTTTTGTACTTCGTTAAATTGTACCGGTAGAATCGATATGTTATTGAGACTAAATGTCTGTGTAATAAGATTAGTATTTGTGTCGGTTCATCCATTCTAATATTAAATAAATATTAGTATATCACTAGTAATATAGTAAGTGGAATAAATATTAGTTTATGAAGAAGTGTTATCCATAATATGAATAAGAATTCATACTTTCTTAATTTGAAATATAATTACCTTATTTTTTCTAAAAAAAAAAATAGAAGACCCGCTCTATCACTGATTACAAACATAACATTACCCGAATTAGAGGGTATTTAGTATGAAAATTCATGTCATGGTTCATGATTCGTTATAATATTTTCTCTCATAAAAAATACACGTAAATTAAAAATAATTATGAATCATAATTATAAATCCGTGAACTAAACATCCACTGACATACTCAGTGAGGTCCAGGATCAATAAACCAACTTTTAAATAGAACACAAACAAACCTAAACAAACTTAAATCGTAAGAAACCCCACTGTCATCTCAACGGCCAACTAGCAAGGACATTTTCGTATTTTCATAATGGGCACGCAAGCAGCAGAAAGCTCCCTTGTAATAGCGACTGGCGAGCGGTAAAATACAACATTTTTTTTTTTTAAAGACACAAACCAAAGAGAGAAAAAAAAATTAAGAAAAAGGGAATTTTATCGCAAAAGTAGAAGATGCTTCAAAGCTCACTCTCTTTCTCTACTCACCACCGCCAGTCCCAGCTCTCAAGTCACTATTAAGAGTTTGAGACGTTACAATTATAATATTGACACCTTGTCCACAACAACCATAAACAAAAAAACAAAGCGCAATTCATCATTTCTTGCTTTCCTTACTCTTCCTCTATCTCTCCTTTTCTGTATTTGTTTATCTCTTCAGATTGGCCTTTTTTTTTTCCCCTTCCTTCAGTGCAAGTTCTCATAGCTATGAGGAAGAAGAGTGAGAAAGAAAAAGTGGAGAGCGAGTTGGAAGAGAGAGAAAGAAGCGGCGGTACACTGGGTTCCATGCTTCCGAGGATCGACCCATTTGTGCCAAGGGCCGACCACCATAATCCCAGGGAGCTGAGATCTTGGGCGAAGAGAACTGGGTTTGTCTCAAATTTCTCCAGTGAGGCGCCCAGCGAGAGGAATGGCAGTTCCACTTCTTCTGGGTTGGATTTGGAGAAGGGTTTTAGAGGCCATAGAGGTGGTGGGTCCGGCTCGTCTCCGAAGATTGAGATCGACCCGATTCTGGGCCGGACCCGGCCCAACAGAGGGGCTGAGATTGAGGCTGCTTCTTTGAATGGGAATGGTGGGGTTAGAGATAATGGGTTTGGGAGGAGAGTTGCTGATAATGGGAATGGGAAAGGGAATGAGAGTGTTGATGGGGGTGTGAGTAGAATTGGGAATGGCAATGGGAATGGGAATGGCGGTGTGAGTAGAATTGGAAATGAGAATGGGAATGGAGTTGGAATGGCGGTGGTTGATAGGGAAGTGGAGGCAAAGAAAGAGGATGGGAAAGCTCAGGACGATTTGGAAGTGAATGTCAATGCAGAGGGTGATGAGCAAGAACATGTTCATGGAGGTGGAGACTGGCGTGGGCCCTTTGGAATCAAATGCGGTCTAAGAGAAAATCCGGGTTTTGGTTAGTGTGTATATAAGCCACACACACACACACACACACACACACCTTTTTTTTGTTTCTAGTAGATGGTGTTCCTTTTTGTATGTGGAATTGCAATGTGGTTTTCGTTGTTTTTGTATGTGGTTACTGTACATTGCGCGGTTTTCAAAGTTTTGGATGAATTAGGGACTAGTATGATGCTTGAAAATGGAGCTAAATGGTGTACTCTTATTGATGATGATGTTTTTGGGGGTGCTGTTAAGCTGTGGAGCTTAATTATCACTCTAACAGAGAGCTAGGACGTAGAGACTGAGAGGTGTCAAGTGTGTGGTTCTCTTGTTATTGTCTTCTTTCATGAAATTCTGCGGCGGTTGAAAGTGGATGTAACCCTCACATTGAGGGTGAAATACTGTAAATCTTGTGAGTGTGTTTTTTTATTTTTTTATTTTTTTATTTTTTTTATTTTTTATTTTTTATAGTTGGTAGTAAAGGATTAAGGCCTCTGATGCATAATAAGCGTAAGGTAGTAAAATTGTTACAGGTGAGTGTTAGAGAATGCCACAAAGAAAAGGAAAGTGCAAATGGTAAGAATGGTGTGCCATTCATGAGCAAAGAAGTGGCAAACAAAAAAAAAAGGCCGAATTTTGTGAGCTCAGAGCGGGAGTACAAAGTAACATATGACCTCCATGAACCTTGTCGTGATACAAACTTTATTTTGCAATGAAACTTGTCTCGATGTATGTTTGACATCAACTTTGGGCTCCCATAAAATAATAGTCACTAATGAATTCGAATTTTTGCAGGTGAATCAAGTTTGCTATATTTTTCCCTTTTCAAACCTGTAGTGGAAATATTTTTTCACTTTTATCTTTGTCATTTACAGTTTGCCTTGTACATGCTTAAGTTTATGAGACAGCACCACATTAGTGCACGTAGCTCCACCAAAGTGACTGTTTACTTGAGAGCCAAGGCATTCTTGTGACAATTTCAGTATTTCTGATAGATGGATGGAGCTGTTATAATTGTTCCAATAAATTGAAAGAAACCAATACTGTGACCTTATATTTTATCTGGATTTTTGTTATTTGCAGTGCCCTTGATGTGTTACGGCCTGCAGCACTATTTATCATTGGCTGGCTCACTTATTTTCATCCCCTTGATTATTGTTCCATCTATGGGTGGAACAGATGTAAGTATCTCTTTCTACAATTCTTTATGTCTACTGCAACATAAAGGGACGTTCTAGGTACTTCTTATTTGAATATAACTTTTTATGTATTATGACAGAAAGATACTGCCACAGTGATTTCAACAATGCTGCTAGTTTCTGGCGTTGCGACAATACTGCACTCATACTTCGGAACCCGACTTCCACTTATTCAAGGAAGCTCGTTTGTTTATTTGGCACCTGCATTGGTCATAATGAATTCTCAGGAGTACCGAAATCTTACAGACCATGTAAGATTTTTTTTTATTTTTTTGCTTAAAACAGACCATGTAAGTTTAGTTTAAGATTAAATGTTACATTCGATCAGCTTTTCAGACTCTTTCACTTACTCAGAGTTGCCTTGAATATCTTGAAGTGTCAACCTTTTTGTATCTTAATAACATACTTCCACCAGCTTCTGGATGTTAAAAGAATAAAATTAATTAAATAAACTCGGTTGATTAATATCCTTAAAGTTGACGTCTTTTCTTGATCTTTTCATTTTTGGATACCTATGGTATAGTTCCACCTGCAAGGGGTGTCCTTTATTCATTTGTATGCTAAATTGTTGTGATCACTTATGTTTCGTGATTCTCATTTTAATGCCAGTGTATTTTGATCACCATCTCAATGCCGATCAGTGATTATTTGAGTGCAGAAATTTAGGCATATAATGAGAGAACTCCAAGGGGCTATTATTGTTGGATCAATTTTTCAATTCCTCCTAGGATTTAGCGGTTTGATGTGCCTTTTCCTGAGGTAAATGAAAGATTGCATATTTAAATATGACTAGTAATGTGCTACTCTTTTTATTTTATACGGTAAATTGTTGCAGGTTGATAAACCCCATTGTGGTTGCACCCACAGTTGCTGCAGTGGGTTTAGCCTTTTTCAGCTATGGTTTTCCGCAAGCCGGAAGTTGTGTGGAAATTAGCCTTCCATTGATACTATTGGTTCTGATATTCACCCTGGTAAGACAAATTCAAACCAAATGATTGACGTGGATTTTAATTTCTTAGATCACATATGCACATTGTCTATTTTTAGATCCCTGATTACATATGCAATATGGTCCAGACTTTCCTTCTCATAGAGTTTTTATTTTTTTGGTCTCCATCTTCATAAACCACTAATTATTCTCTGTTGATTTTGTTCTGAAGTACCTTCGAGGATTATCCATCTTTGGGAATCGCTTATTTCGAGTTTATGCGGTATGGATAAGCGGACCTTATCTTTGAATATTCTGACGCATTTGTATCTTTACTAGTACAGAATCTATGATAAAAGTATCATATGTTTTCCTTGATTATTGTTCTCTAGCTAATTGGGGTGCATTGTTTAGTCTTATCCTGTTCTTCAAATGTTTTGATGAATTAGTACAAGTATATAACTCCTGATTGAATTTTTGGCATTTTAATCATGTCAGGTTCCCTTGAGCGTTGTTATAATTTGGACGTATGCATTCTTTTTGACTGCCAGCGGGGCATATGATTACAAAGGCTGCAGCCCCGACATACCAAGTTCAAACATATTGAATGATGGATGTAGAAAACATGCATATACTATGCAGCATTGCAGGACTGATGCTTCCAATGCGTGGAGAACGGCTGCATGGGTCAGGATTCCCTATCCTCTGCAGTGGGGCATGCCCATCTTCCATATGAGGACATCAATTATCATGATCGTAGTATCACTTGTCGCATCCGTTGACTCGGTGCGTAACTTTAACTCAAATGCAGTTTATACATATATATAGAAAGATGCATTTGATATCTTTAGATGCAATTAACATGAGGATAAAATTATCATTTGACCCTTGTGCAAATGGTGTACCAGATTGGTACGTACCACACTACATCCGTGCTCATCAATTTGAAGCCTCCAACGCCAGGAATTGTGAGCAGAGGAATTGCAATGGAGGGTTTCTGTAGTATATTAGCTGGACTTTGGGGCTCAGGAACTGGGTCGACAACCTTGACAGAGAATCTGCACACCATTGAAGTCACAAAGGTGGCTAGTCGAAGGGCTGTGGAACTTGGAGCAGTTTTCCTGATAGTCTTTTCATTTATAGGTAAATTACTGTTCAATTTATTATCACAAACACAAAGTTAGATTGAATCCCTGATCATGTATTGCGGAAGCATCCAAAAAGAGTCGCAGTTCCATATATAGATTCAAATAAGTATTCAATTTTTTCTTTTCCCTTTGATATTTGAAAATCTGGAGGATGATCTATCAAAATGATGATTTTTATTTTGGATGACCTATCAAAATGATGATTTTTATTTTTCTTTCTTTTTCTAAGAGAATTGCTCTTACTTATACTCTTGTGCTTGCTTGATAGGAAAAGTTGGTGCTATTCTTGCCTCCATACCATTGGCCTTGGCTGCTGCTATATTGTGCTTCATATGGGCCCTTATTGTGGCCTTGGGTCTCTCCACTTTGCAGTATAGTCAAACAGCAAGTCTTAGAAATATAATGATAGTTGGTGTTTCATTGTTCCTCGGTTTATCTGTCCCCGCATATTTTCAACAGTATCAACCTGAATCCAGCTTAATACTTCCCAGCTATTTCATTCCTTACGCAGCAGCATCCAATGGACCGGTCCATTCTGGCAATAAACAAGTTAGTTTTTTCTTATTGGTTCAAAAATATTTTACTACTATGCCTTTACCTGACGTCCTTTTTTCTTATTGGACTAACTAGCTGATCCATTCTTTGCTCCTGTCATCCAGATTGATTTTGCTATAAACGCACTTCTGTCTATGAACATGGTCGTAACACTCTTGGTAGCTTTTGTACTGGACAACACTGCCCCAGGAAGCCGACAAGAACGAGGGGTGTATATTTGGTCACGCGTAGAGGATATCAGGGACGACCCATCTTTACTTGCGGATTATTCTCTGCCAAGGAAAATATGCCGATGTATTTGTTTACCGAAATGTTTGGGGGTGTGATAGTTGGCGTTGTTCCACGCTTTATGAACAGACTTATTCTGAAGAAGTCTCTCCAAAGGCTGCTCACAGGATGTTAAGGATGCGGATGTTGGAGCTGCAGGACATCAGAGCTCAAAACGAAGAAAGCATAGTTCATTTATACATAATCGATAGCGTACACGAAAGTGAAAAGTTATTTGCTATTACCAGGTTAGTGAAATTATTTACGTATAACGAAGTTCCGGATTGTATAATAGGTGAAACATTATTTCAAAGGGGGCTCTCTCTGTTATTTTTTCTCAATTATATCACTTGAGATTTATTTGATTACATTCCAAAAAGTGTAGTTTTACAGTTGAGCTTTACCCATAGAAGGATCAACTTAGAATATATGTAAAACTTGGTATTCTTCACATACTCGTGCTATTTTTGGTCAATTTTTTGTTATTTTTCTCTCAACCATAAAGTTCTTTTGTGCCTTAATAACAGTAATCAAAATCTGATCCAGAAATTGGCAAAAAAGCAGAACTTTTGGGGCAGCTCATCTTCTAGACAATGTCTAAAAAAGCCAACTAAGATTAGGTAAGCTATAAAATTATCATTTTCAAAAGATGGACTCCTACAATACCAACGGCAACTATGTTGAACTTCCCATTTCTCATCTTCTTGTCAAAGTAGAAAGACGTAACCACACCAAAGTGGTATATGTTTTTGCCCCCAAAACCGTTCTGAACCTTTGTTGCTTGCAGCCTCTGGTCTTCCAAGTTCCAACCGTCCATAGCACAAAGCTTATCTCTCTCTCTCTCTCTCTCTCTCTCGCATGTAAAAGACAACAAAGAAATTTGCAACACTATACAATGTTACGGCAGAGGAAGAGATCTCTTATTATGCCAATCTTGAATGAGTGTACGGAGAGTGTGATTGGAGGTAAGGAATGTGTGCTTGAGCTTTAAGTTTGTCATGGGAGATGTATCATTCCCCATTCTTAGCCATTCCTCTATGGCTTCTAGCTCGTACGAAAACCCATCAGCTGCCACATGTGGATTCTTCATTACTTCCTGCATGCATTCAAAATTTCACTCTATTAATGCCAACTAGTTGTGATCTCCAATCAAATTTTGATTCCAAAGAAAAGATATCATCATTTATATAGAGAATTCTATAATGTAATATAAAAATAGCATGGGATACAAATTTGACCAACCCGTCAAATCCTCAAGTTCTTGCAAAGTGTCATTTTTTTTTTTAATTTGACACGATTCTGATGTGCTTTGATGTTAAGTATTTGTATATCTTACTATTAACTTCTCATATTTATACTGGTTAGGTCGGCAGATAAAATAAATTATTCCTTTAAACTCAAGTATCGTTATTTTTTTGAGGTCTTATTTTTTTTACAACTTAAATTATAACTCAAATTCTATTATTGCAGTATTTTCTCAAAAAAAAAAATTCAAATTTAATTTTTTTAACTACAGTGTGTTTCTCTTGTATACACAACGTACCAAACATAGCTTTAGATTTTGGTTAGGTCGGCAGATAAAATAAATTCTTCTTTTAAACTCAGGTATCGTTATTTTTTTTAGGTCTTATTTTTTTTACAACTTAAATTATAACTCAAATTCTATTATTGCAGTATTTTCTCAAAAAAAAAAAAAATTTAATTTAATTTTTTTAATTACAGTGTGTTTCTCTTGTATACACAACGTACCAAACATAGCTTTAGATTATAGTTGAAAGCAGAACACACCTGAAATATGGGGCAGAGGAAAAAACTTGGTACATCTGTGGGGTCCTCTCCATCTACGGCTTTATCAGTTGCCACGTTAGATCCTTTATCAATCGCCACATCACATTCTCCCTTTGCCACTAGATCTGCAGCTTTTTCTCTCAAATCAGTAAGCTCTTCCATTACAGTAGCCAATCTCAAATCTGTATCGGGCCCACGGTTGCTAGACAAACAGCTCAAAGCAAGATCCGCAAGTCTCTCAGCTAGATCCAACGGCCACTTTCCGGCCATTTCATCCAAGTCTCGAACCAAAGCTGGCCTGTCCATAGTCATGGCCTCAACAAGCCCAGCCCAATTTCTCCCTGTTAGTAGATGCATCAACAGAACCCCAATGGCCCGAATATCTGATCTAATACTATGTTCATCACCACTCCGTGAGAGCCCAAACCCACTTATCTTTGCAACGAGATTGCGGTCCAAAAGGATGTTGGACAACCTGAGATGTCCGTGAACAATGGGCTTGGGCTTAGCCATGTGGAGGAAGCCCAGGCCCGAACAAACCTCGGCGGCAATTTGGATGCGGTCGTGCCACCGGAGGGTCCGGATTCTTTTGCTGGAGGTTCTCCGGGAGGAGTACAAAATGTCCCTCAAGAATATGTCCCTTAGGCTACCATTGTGCATGTATTCAAACACAATGCACTTTAGGTCAGTGCAAAATCCCACCATGGACACCAAATGTGGGTGCCTGATTTGGCTCAAGAGCAGCACCTGTAAATCACAAAACTTTCACATTTACATCTAAAATGAAATTAAAACTAACAAACAAATAGATAAAACTAAGAAAAACGCTATTATACACGTAAGCTAGTTGACTAGTATAGCTACTAGTATCAATAGACGGTTATGTTGTCTTTCCGGTTATATATATATATATATATATTTAAGCTTTTTCTTCGGTCGGGACTGTCTGGTACGAAGGAAATAGCGTAAAAACTGAGACTATGCCATTATTATAACATTAAAAAAGAAATGGACGGATCAAGAACGGTTGTCCCCAATAAGTGTAGAGTTAGCTAGAACTGCCCTTTTGAAAGAAGTGCCAAATAATGATCTTTTCTTTTGTGCAAGACTAGATTACTGTTGTGACAGTTATGGTAGTTAAAAACCGCCATTACCTTAGCTTGGAAATCCTCCGGGGACATTCCATTCACGGAGTCAAGTATTTTGATTGCAACTGTGGAATGGTTGATACGCCCTCTGTACACAGTGGTCCAATCACCTCCAGGCTTCAACCTCAACCTCTCCGAAAACCCATTTGTTGCCAATCTAATCTGCTCTGCCGTGTACTCCTTAAAACCACAGCTCGTCTCAGTGAACTTAGCAACCATTCCAATGGCGTCCTTTTCTCGACAAAACTCGATTCGTCGCTGAAGAACATCTCTCTGCTGCCTCAGCTCCTCAATCTCCCTAACCATCTCTGATCTCATGCTCACTGACTTCTCTAGCTGGGCCTCCGCGTGTGACTTTGCCAATGTGGAAATCTGAAGCTTGTTTGAGAGCTCATTCTTCAGCTCGGTTAGTGAGTTTAGCCTGCTCTTGCTTTCTTCAATCTCCGCAAGGATTTCGTTCAGGTGTTCCTTTTCAGTGTCCAAGTCTTCGTTTACCTCTGTTCTAGTGCTGACCTCTTCTTTGATCCTTGCCTGGAGTTCCTCAGCCTAATAGAAAGTGTTTATCTTAATTAGCTTAAATCTAAAAAGAATGTTATAATTAGGAAATAAAAAAACGATAATAATACAAAGCAACGGTGTTACTAAGCATTATACACTAATAAAAGGTAAGTCCTGTAACATGAAGCCTACAAGTATGGCCCATTTTGTGTTAGTTGAGGATAGTAATTAGCACATGTGGTGCCTCCAAACATTTAAAAAAAAACAAAACAAAATACTATCTACATTTTAAATGCAACCGTCACAACTATGCAAGTTCTATAAAAATGATTGTATTGTCACGTAAAGCTCGGGCATGTTATATTTTAGTCCTGAGATTTTTAGTAAAATAGTTTGTTTATGATGTGTATAATTTTTCGTAAGGAATTAAACAAACTATTAAGTCATTGGCTTATAATAATACCCGGTGATTGCATAAAAGAATTGCCCTTTCTGCTTTTGCCTGCCTTTCCGCGTTGGCCTTAGCTTCTATCCTTTTGGATTGGATGGTCTTTTGAGCTTCTTTCAGTTTTCTTTTCAGGGAATCAATTTTTTCTGCAGCAGTCTGAGTATATAGTGTGTCAAAATTCAACATTTGTTAGAGATAAAAGATATATTAAAAACCAGATCAATTTGTATTTGTAACTAAAAAAAAGGGATTACTGAAAGAAAATTGTATTATTAGGAAGTGAGAGACCCTTCAGTATTTGTTAGAGATTGAAAAAAATAGCTATTAGCAGCTCCAAAAGAAAGATTTGCACTATTGGAAACTTGTGTTATTAAAAGTGTGTAAAACTTCAACTTCGTTTTAGAGATTTAAAAAAAAAAAAAAAAAAGGAAAAGAAACCAATGTCAAAGGCTACTAGTAACTTTTTCACCTAGGGAGCGTATATTGTTTAGAAAGTTGAGTCTAAATAAAATATATACATATATATTAATATATTCATATTCAGTGACAGAATAGATACAGGTTTGGTACACAGTTGGCACCAAAATGAGCCCCCCCAAGTTATCATCCCCATCACTATCAATATCATATCCTTCCAAGGGTCAAAAAGTAGGATAAACAAGAACAATTCAATGGTGTAAAAGAAAGCAAAAGTGGAGCCGTTTAACAAGAAAAAACACAATTATCTAGCTACTCCATTTGTCTAAAAACAAGACAAATGGACACCATTTTCTTAATCAATAATTTAATGAAGTATTAGAATAACATTAATTATTGTCCACAAGTAAGTATCTTTTGATAATTTTGATTACTTACCAAATCACAATCCGCATGTTCCGGCGTACCCGACTCCACTCTAGGACTAATTTGTTGAAAACTTTCATCTTCTTTATCACAAGCTTCCTCATCCAAATTCAGGGACAACAAGTGCTGGAAATAGTCTTCAATCTCTTGTGCATAACTTTCCCACTGGCTCTGCGTGCTCGGCGAATCTAGGTTAATCGACGAAGAGGAGAGAACTCGGCGCGGATTTCTTTCTAGCGAGTTTTGTGGTGGATTTGGAATGAAGATTTTTCCTAGCCAATCCTTAAAACTACCCTTTTCTCTGAGCTTTGCAACCGTGACTCCTTGATCATCTTCCATGATTCCTTTGTTGTTTTCTCCTCTGATGGAGAGCTGTTTTCCTCCACATATTATAAATAGCGCACAGAAGTCAGGCTTGTTCTTGTGGACATAAAATGATCCACTAATTGCAGTCTTGATTTTCCTACATGGACATAGAAATATCATCATAAAGAATAAAATTAATTACACCAATAATATGGAAACTGACAAACTAATTTTATTGCATACCAAGATGAGGACTTCAAGAATGAAAAGCCCATAACCAATTTGGTGACTCTGTGTCCACAAATCAAATCTATGATGACCTTATGAATTGGATCATCACATTTCTCCACTTTCAGTAATTCAGCCTTCACCTGTAGAAATTTTGGAACCCCATTAGAACTAAAAGAATTCATGTCTAAATGTCTTAATTTTGCTTGATCAGCAGCCAGGAAAATATCGGCAAAATTTAACTCAAACCTCTCCACAAAAAGATATATATTTGGAGAGCAACTTGTCAATCCTTTCTTTCTCATATCTCTTAAGAACGTCCAATTTCTCATCACTAACAGCACTTGCAGGAAGCTTCCCAACTGAAATAAAAAAAAATAACAGAAAAATTAAGATATAAATTTTCATCAAAGATAGAAGAATGAGAGTAATCAATATCTGTGGAAGCGTGAAAACTTACATGGGGTGTAAACAAAATCCTTGGAAATGTTGTGAGTAGCATGGAGAATGATGATGGAGATTGGCTGAGAGTTCCACTTCTTTAGTGTCCAATCCAAGGTCTTCAATCCATCTTGTAGATCATTTCCAAGAGCAACATATACCTTATTTTCTGCTAATTGACTATCCATTAGCTTCTCCTATTAGGAATGGTTTTTGGGCTGAGGGGAAACAACCAAGAAACTTACATAATTATAGAAGCATTTTTGGTGAATAAACTATAGAGCTTAAGAGAATCAGCAGAAGATAACTGGAAAATTGTTTAGGTGAGGCAAATAATTTTTAAAATAATTGGAAGAGAAGGTTGCTTTTGAAAAGGTTTGTTGATATGGAACTTTTCAAAGGTCTATGTTGAAGCTTTTAGCAATTTTCTGTTTGTTTTTGTGACAACAGGACAGCCTAGTGTTGGACTTTTGTATGTGTCTTATAGTGGGAGAAAAATCAACGTGGGACATAACTCAGAGAGATTTTTAAATGAATTTTGGGTGTAACACAAGCATATGTATGTGTTAATCTGTAACAATCTTAAGAGATTTGGAATCGCTTCTGAGTTATATTACATATTCATCTTTGGTTCAAGTGAAATGGGATAAAAAATTTTACTACTCTTTAATAACGAAACATCTCGCTAGTATTTTATATTGTTAATAATATTAAAATGGTATGTCACTTTTAAAGAAGCATTCCTTTAGTACACTTGAGACTAATTTTTAGGACGTATAATGTGCAAACTGTCATTTTCATTAATTAAATAAAAATTAATGACTTTAAAAATGCCTTTTAAAAACATTTTTAACTTAATTTAATTTTTTTAATTTTTAAATGTTCTAAAGTATTTTTGGATTTCTTTTAAAAAAAGTTATTAATTTGTTGTTAATTAATGAGAATGGTAGAATATACATTTTATGTCCCAAAAATCAGTCTTAAGGTACTAAAAAAAGTTTTTGTAAAGGTAAAAGTAGAGTTTTAATATCATTAAAATACAAGATATGAAGAAGATGTTTCACAAGTTTGTTCAGTTACATTTTTGAGTTATGGTGACTTAAGTGTAGATTTTGAGTTATAACTTGAGTTGAAGTTGTAACTTGAGTTTGTGTTTGGTTGTGTACATTTGAGTTATGGTTTGATATGAGAATCTTTTTGAATTTGTGTTTGGGTGAGTCAAAACTTGAGTTTGTATTTAGATAGTATTTTAATAAAAACTCAATGATGATAGAAAATTTTAATAGGGTATATGGTTAAATTTTATTCGTTTCTTCATTGTGAATACATAAAGCAAAAAAAATTCTCAATCGTAGAACGAAAAAGTTATAACGTTTTTAAGAATAGAAAAAATATTATTCGTTAACTTGAGTTTGAGTTTAGGAACTTGAATTGAAAGAAAAATTTGAACTCAGATTTTAACTCCAAGCTCAAGTTAAAATTCAAGTTTAAACTCAAATTTTATAAAAGAGCATGAATTTAAATAAAGTTGTAACTTTAGTTCAAACTTTTTTTTTGAATTTGAGTGCAAACGAAGATGTCCAGATAATTGAAATTATGCACTCCAAGTTCATATTTAGCATTACATCATCTTTTAGGTCACTAACCAATTCCACAACATTTTTTTAATTGCTAATATTATTAAGAAGCAAGAGTAATGATTGGAAAAATAATATAAAATCCATAAAAATACAACAGAATAGCTTTTAAAACTTTTGTTTCTGAAATATAGTTAATGCTATATACAATAGTTATGAATTATATTCACATTTATTTTGGCAAAATAAGAACGCTTTCAACCACCAATTGTTTTCTATTTCTCTCTTCGTCTACAAATCGATGGTACATATATATATATTGCTAATCATCCATGTTATTTACATGTTTATTTATTTTGAAGTAATTAAAAGGAGATGATATACTTTGGTCCTATTTATTTCACTGATTTGAATTTATAATTCGAGTTTTATTACAGTAAAAAACTCTCAGAAATAGTTACATCTAAACTTTTTTTTCCTACAATAAAAAGCTCTCACATAAAATCACATCTTAATTCAAATTAAAAACTCAAATTAATAAACTAAACGAGTCCTTTATTTGCATCATCGAATCTGCATCCTTTTAAATTCGAACTTCATCCCGCCTTGTCCCACCTCATATAATTTGATTTAGAGGGTGTTTGGTATGAGGGTTCGTGTCATAATTCGAATTATAGTTTGTGACTCGTTATAATATTTTTTCTTACAAAAAATACACATAAATTAAGAATAATTATGCATTATAATTCTAAATTTATAGACCAAACATCCACCAGTGACCGTCATCATTGCCAATGAATTGTTATTTTTTTAAGGGAGAAAGGCAAATGCATTTGTTTTTAAAAATTCTTTAATTCATTGATGCATGACAATGCACCAGAAGGGAATGCCTGTTGACCTTTATACATTAAATGAGCATGTCTGTTGCCATTGACATTCAATTTTGCTTACCGTCAAGAACCAATGGCGGCTCAGCTATAGCGTAAGGGAACCTTTTCTAGCCTCGGTTTGCCTGCAGAGGAATATGCTTCCCAAAATTCTTTAAGAGAACAATAATTTCAAAATAATGACATTTATTAATCTGAAAATGATCGTTAAAACTTATGTATATATCTTGACCACTTTTATATAGCCACTATAGGATGAACATTATCAAGTACGTGATAAATCAAGTAAAGTTGTTTGTCTTCTGATTAAGATTAGGGGCACTAATTTTTTTTCTTCGAAAAATTGAAGTACAAAAAAAAGGAGTTCGCAGAAGCATGCTTCTAGAATTCAACTAGCTTGACACGTCCCGTTATTCTTTTTTTTTTTTCACTTTGCAAATTGTATTTTTTTTTCACATTATTTAAAACTATTAAATATGGTAAGTAATATTTCAATACAAATATGCTTTTTTAAATTGTTTCTTTAAAAGGAAATTAATAAATATGCAAACAATTTATAAAAATAAATAAATATAGCCAATTGAAACACGACAAATACAACATGTTAACGATGTTCTTTTAAGAATGCCAACAATATTTTAACAATCATAAAAATAAATAGATATAGCCAAGTGATAATTATTTTTCAAACTAAAAAAATGATATTCATAAAAAATTTCTAATAACGGTGTAAAATTATTAAGAAGTTTTAAATTTTAACCTAAATAAAACTATGATTCGATGAAAATCAACAATTTCATGTTATGCATAATGATGGTAGAAAGAAAAAAGTTGAAAAAATATATACATCTTCTCTACTATAAGTGTAGATACATATTAAGAGTATAGTGATTTATGAGTGACAGTATACATGCAAGTAAAAAAGAAGAAGAAAAAGAACAGTATTTATAATACAATTAAAGAAAATGGAAAGGAAAAAAAGCAGAAAAAGACAATTTAAAAAAATGCTTGAAAGCAAGCAATAAAAAAAAGTGTTTAAAGAGAAAATTAATGGAAAAAATATTTTAATGGGAAATAATGAAAAATACATGTGTTAAAAAGGAAGAAAAAGAACAATATTTAAAATACAATTAAAGAAAATGGAAATGAAAAAAAAATTGAAGAAAGACAATTTTAAAAAAAAAATGCTTGAAAATAAGTAAGCAAAGTAAAAAAATAAAAAATGATTTTAAATCATAATTTATAGTTTTTTATAGTATTTTTCTTTCATAAAAAATTTAAATTTTAAAAATTAAAATTATGAATCATGATTCTGAATCCATAAACCAAACATGCCCATAATGATTTTGTGAATTCAATGAGTGGGATGTTGTATGACTATAATTGCACGATTATCTTTTTCTTACGGTCCACATGTGTGACGCCCCTCATAAGTGGCCGTCACTGTAGCTAAATGTTAGCTTGTACTTACTGAAATTTTCTTAGAATTTGCGGAACATTTTTTTTTTTTTAAAGTCTTATAGTAACATATACTATGAATTACTTTCTTGATCGAAACATTCAAACCTTAATATATATATATATATATATGATTCTCAAAACATGTAGATATATCTATATGTATATACCTACTCTTTAAATCCTACTTACTAATAGCCATAATCCACAAACCATTTAACATATAGTTTTAGAATAATAATTAGCAAAACTATTTGTAACATAAAACTAATTCCGGAAATATTTGCGAGCGGTATCCATTTTCCGATCTCCACATCGTTCATCCACTCGCCGTCAGCCCATCAAGCATTATATGCCGGTTGCTTACCTACAGTATAAACATTCTATAATGAGGTTTCGCTCAGCAAGTAGGAACTACCTCTCGCAAAATAACTATAAGTTCACATGAATAAATATGCATAAGTTGATTATGCTTAATTATGATGTCTTATCATAGTCTTATTATCTTATCTTATCTTATCTTTTCTTTCTTTCTTGTGGGCCCGAGTGTTCGCGTACCACTTGCGCGCAATCATCGGGACGTGAGGGTTTGCAAGGTCCCCCACGACACCGTGATTATAACTTGAATGTCTCCCTTGAGTCGGAGGACATTATTTTTTTTTCTTTTCTCCCTTGCAGAGCTTGAGTTACCTCCCTTGTGGAGGCTGATACAGCACTCAACTGAGATTATTCTTATAAGTTACTCTTGACTTATTAAGGTGTATGCAATATGACCTAGCATAGCATACTATATCATGTACTCGAACACATATAATTCGGGTGTACTGCTTAAGTGTATGTAGTATAACATAGCATAGCATTCATAACATTAAATGTACTCAAACATATATAGTTCATGTGTACTGTTTATTTTAAAATCTATTTATACTATAGGCGAGATTTCTACTTACTTGATTTTCAAAGCTGGAATCCCCTTTTCGCCAAACAGCCTAGTCTCTTACTTGCTTTCTTCTGAAAGTGAACACCCATTAAGAGTGTGAGATTAACTGTCGTTTGCTATTCTATTTTAGCAACTTATGAAGGAAAATCTAACCCTTTCTTTAAGGCATATATTCCTCTCCTTTACTAAAGGATAATAAGGATCAATTTATTAAATCCTTAAAATCTTATTTTCCTTAATTTTTTCTCATTATGATATTAAGGCCCAATTCTGCCTAAGACTTATACCTGGCATTCTAACTTTTAAACTGCTGAAATATATACTCCAACGGAGTCTCTTAATCTAATGCGGACATTGGGCCCACATTAAATCTTTAAAATTCTACGGACCTATCGTATTGGGTTCGTAGGTGCCCGTCGGGATGATTCGCTCGATAAACCACTATGTTCTTTAAAGAAAGCATTTTTTTCTTGAAAACTTTCTTTACGAATACTTTCGTTAAAATGAGGTTTAATGCCATTGTGTTTTATTGAAATCCTATCTCGGGTTCTTTGATGACTTTTTATTAAAACCGACACTGTTTTAGTTTTGTTTTGTTAAAAACTGTGCAGTTTCTGAAATCTACATTTTACTACATCTTAGAGTCGGATTTCAAAATTTTTTTCTTCGTGACAATTCTTCGTCTCGTTGAGATCTAAAATTGTTATTTTTGGTGAAAATTGAAATTCAGCCTCTAAAGGCCTCGTTTTGCTGAAAACAGTAGCTGTTATTTTTTTTTTCTTCTGCTGTAGGAAATGCTGCAGTAATCTTTTAAAATGCTGCAGATGCTATAGCAATGTTGTAGCAAAAATTTTCTTTTTGAACCTTTGTTGGACAGCCTGTCCGTTTTTTACAAAATAGCTTCAAACTTGCTTTTAGAGTTAAAGTTGGGCTTTATCATAGTTACAGAAAATGTTCAAAACATCAAGGGCTATAAGTTCAAACTTTGAAACACCAAAAAATCTCTCTCTAGGGTCCTCATTTTTGCGTTCAAAGTAACCGGAAATTTTTCCTCGAACCAGAAGTAAGCAAGCTTAAATCAAGCATAAGCATACCACATCAAACTAACCTCAAAACACACAAAACCTACATAAAACTCACACACCCTTATTACAACTCATCTCCTCAAGAACCGCAAATTTACATCCATAAATTTAAGCTTAAAGTTGGCTAGAAATTGATGGAGAAGAGTTTAAGAACTTACCCTTGAAGAACTCTCTCTCTCTCTTGAAAAAAACTTTGAACTCCTCTAAGATTTGTTAATGGCTTGAACTAGAAGATATAAGGAAATTTAAGAGGAATATTTCTACATTTCAAACTTTACTAAAACATGAGAAAGAGAGGATTTAGAGTTTTTTTACCCTTGAAGGAATGTTTGACTAGTCTCCTAGCATCCCTTGATCTATTTCTTCTTCTTCTATTGTTTGCTAGTGGTTTAAGGTTAGGAGAGTGGAAGAAAATATTTGAGAGGGAGTGAAGGGGTGTGGCCAGATTTGGAGGTGGAGACAAAAGCAAGGAGGAAAAAAAATGATACATATCATATGTTGGTTCCTTTTATAGACAACTTTGTGATAATTATTTAACTCCAATTCCACTCCATTATTCAACCAAATTTTTGGTTCAAATCCCCCAATCTTGGCCGGTTGTGGAAGGAGAAAAGAAGAAGTAATTTTGCCATGATTTCCCTTCAACCACTACTATCCCATCACCTTACCATGTCATCCACTTGCACACTCAACTAGCTAAGTTTTTTGCTCTAATTTGCTATTCATGGCCAGCCAAAGTGGAGAAGGAGAGAGAAAAATGAAATCTAACCCATGTATTTTTGTCCACTCCCTTAAGTTACTCATTAAAACTGTCTAAAATTATACTGACAGCTATTTTCTTCTGTATGTGTATTGGATGCTAGTTTGTACTGTGTTTGGAGATTCTTGAAATTAAGATTCTCAAACTGTATCTGTATTGGAAATTCTTTCGTTTTAAATTCTAGGATTTTCTTGGTCACTACAACATGTAAGGTGTTCGAATATCCACGTTTTAATAGTTTCAAGCCATTTAATTTTTTAAAATAAAATTCTTTGAAACTATTATTCTTTTTATGAGAAACTGTTGTGTATAACAAATATTTTAATAAATTTTTAAAATACTTTATAGAATACATTAATTTATGCACGAATAAATTAATTAAATTAATTTTTAAATAAATTTACCTAATCAATGATTAGATCAATAACTTGAGTTTTTTGATGGCGAACGTCCTTCGCTTCAAGCTTGTTTAGAATACCTAAATCTTCCTCTCAATTCCTTAAATCTATGAAGACATGTATGTGGGCACACCTGAAACAAAATAGGATTAGCACTCAAAATACTCAAGTCTTCTACGAACACCAACACATGCACGACGTGAAACTGGGAATTTAGAAGAACTTTTTTTCTCTTTTTCTCTCTGGTTACATGCCCACTTCTAGTAGGTTACATGCTAGCCAACTACGTGTTACATGCCTATACTAGACATGTTACACGCGACCTGTAGATGAGGGAGTGAAAAAGTTACATGCATGTCATTAGCATGTTATACACTGTCTGACAGAATGTTACATGCCCATCACATAGGGGACGGGAGAAAAATTGTGCTCTCCAATTTTCGGCAACTTCTTATTTATAGGTACCTCTTAGAGTCCTAGAAAAATGCATCTTATCTTTTAAGATAAAGGTTTTAGAAAATAAGAGATAATATTTAATTTTAGAACAATTTTCTCTCTCCTGTTGTCGATAAAATTCGGCCGCCACATGGATAAGCTCTATATGGTTGGCGCCTACTGTAGATAAGGAGGCAACAAAATTTTTTCTTCATCCAGTTGTCTAAGTTTAACTCAAATTCTAATTCTAATTAAAGTCAAACTTGATTTAATTTGAATTTCAATTGAATAACTTATCAAATAAGTCAATTGGATAACTGAATCCCATAGGGCTTCCTACAGTGTTGGGCGTATGACACTTGTGATCTCTATTACATGTGTGTTCTAAAATTCAAATTAAATAATCAAAATATGTAATATCAAATTCATTCTCAGTTAATTATTTTTGAGTGTTTTATTTAATATTTCATAATTCTAAAATTTTCATTTTGTCTTTAGTGTCTTATAGAATTATAAGGACGACGCAGGAACTAATGGACCTATAATTTTGAATTCTAATAAAATTAATAATTAATTAAAACTCTTTAATTAATTAATTAATTCTTATCAATTCCAAAGTTACTCTACATAATCTCATTATGTGTAATACACTCATTCAATATCTCACAATATTAACAGTGCGGATAACACCATTCCATTCTAAATGGGAATGACATGTATTAGTAATGTTTAAATTAAATATTTTGAACTTTAATTAAATCCATTACGAACATCGTTTCGATTATTATCTTTAAATATTATCCTCTCGCATATAACACTTATATACAATATTTAAGGTCACATAAATAATCATGAAATTTTCAATGATATTCATAAAATATTCAATAACATATGCACATAAATAAAAAAAAATTCTCTTTTATTTAATAAATAATAATATTCTTTATTACATCTTATCCTTTTTAGGACACTGTTCTCAACAAAAACTACTGAACTTACTTTTAGAGTTCATGAGTCTAGATTTCTATCATTTACTCTTTATTAACACCCTTTCGACTAATATAGTTATTTGACTAAAAATTATATTAATTAAGAGTAAAGAGTAAAAATTCAAAATCACGCACTCTAAAAAGTATTTGTCTCATTTTTTCTTCTTTTATTACTAAAACAAGTGGGGCAGTCGCTTAAAAAAAAGAAAAAAACAAGTTGACACAGGTAAAGTATAAAAATAATGAGAATGACAAGCCGATATTTATCTTTTTTAAAAAAAATAATATTTATCTTTGATTGCGCCAAAAAAAAAAAAAAAAAAAAAAAAAAGAAGAAGAATCTAAAGAAGAAGAAGAATTTAAACACTAAGGTGGCACAATTGATCTTTTATGATGCCAATCTTGAATGAGAGAATGAAGGGTGTGATTAGGGGTGAGGAACTTGTCCTTAAGCTTCAAGTTTGTCATAGGAGAAGTATCTCTTCCCATTTTCAGCCATTCTTCGATAGCTTCTTGCTCATAAGAGAATCCATCAGCCGCTACGTGTGGATTCTTCATCACTTCCTACATTCCAAATGATGTAATTAATTTCCAATTGTGCTTAACTATCATGATTACTACTTTTTGTTGTTAGCTCAATGACTTTTGAAGTACTATGTCCATTAAGAGTTATGTATTTTTTTTCTTTGATTTGATTCTGACCAGTGACCATAAGTAGTGTTCTTGAAAATGCAATACTGATAAGAATAGCCTTATCATAGAAAGGACTAATAAAATACTGCTATTAAGAGAATGACAAATGACTAGAGATTTTTTAAAGCAATTATTTAAAAAGTTACTTACAAAAGACATTATTTACTGACATTTTTTAACAAGTTGAGGTATTATCAGACCATCTCGATATGTTATTTAAGAAAGAAAAAGAAAATACACAGTAAATTTTACCATCTTATATTTTTCAAAAATCAATATTTGAATCCCTATTCCAATATGATTCCCATGCTCCATTAGTCTATACTGCTCCTAAAAGAATACTTATATGGCTTAAAGGAGGTATTTAGTAGTAGGAATCATATTATTAGAAAAGTAATAAAGGGTAATATAAATCCTAAGAAACATGCATTATCATGTTTGGTTACATATGAAAATTTTTTCTTAAATTTCTTGGAATATCATTTTATTGTGTTTGGTTGAGCATAATAATATTTTAAGATTAATATTAACTGGATTATTATAATTTTGACAAAGATGTTAGACTAATAATACGATAACTCCAATCTTTGATATTCTTATCTCTTTTTTTTTTTTTTTTCTAATTAGTAACTAGAAAAATATAAAAAGATTGAAATATGAACAAAAAATACTGATATTTTTATTATATAAATTATATTTACCTGAAATATTGGGCAGAGAAAGACACTGGGGACTTCACCAGGGTCCTGTCTAGGTTCACCTTCATCACTAATCTCCTCAAATCTTCTTCTATCAACCAACTCATCTGCCTTTTTACTCAATTCCTCGAGCTCTTCCATCAACATTTCTACTCTCAAATTTCTATTGGGATGTCCACTTTTGGTCAAAGTCAAACACCTGGATGCCAATATGGCAAGTCCCTCTACAACTTCCAATGGCCACTCTCCAGCTGTCTCGTCTAAAACCTGAACAAAAGCCGCCTTGTCCATAAGCATGGCCTCGTCAACAAGCCCAACCCAATTACTTCCCGTCAGAAGATGCATAAGCAAAAGCCCAAAGGCCTCCACATCAGATCCAATGTGGGCCTCATTATTGTATTGGGAAAGCCCAAACCCACTAATCCTCGCGACTAGGTTGCGGTCAAGGAGAATGTTGGAGGCGGTGAGGCGGCCGTGAACAATGGGCTTGGGCTGGGCCTGGTGGAGGTAGCATAGGCCCGAGCACACTTGGGCCGCAATACGTATTCGGTCATGCCAAGGAAGGGCGGGATTTCTCTTGGCCGAGTTTCGGTATGAAGAAACTAGGATGTCTCTTAAGGAACCATTGTGCATGTATTCAAAGACAATGCACTGAGGCTCCGAACAAAAGCCAATCATTGCAATCAAATTGGGGTGTCTAATCTCGCCGAGGAACTTCACCTACACATGGAGCTTCAATTTTATCTAAAATGGAATAGGAAAAAACAAAATAACAGTTTTTAGCAAAATTTATGCCAAGTCATTATTAACTAGCCACGTTCCATTATAAAACAAGGTGCAACGAGTTTTTTTTTTCTTCTTTTCGGGTCAATATAAAGTCGAGTAGTTTGTACTTTGTAGTAGTATGAGAGTGCTCACGGTGATTGTGTGATAAAAGAACTAAATGTGAAAGTTTAGGCCGCTCAATCCCGCCTTAAAGAGAAGAGAAGAGGGTCAGCCTAGTTCTGTTCTAAAGTCTGACGAACTTAGGACCAGTCTGATTATGTCTGAAATTTTATAAGGTAATTTAAAAAGAGGGTACTTGGCCCAGCAAGAATAATTATAAGTTCAAAATCTTAGCATGGGTCAACAATGACAATTTCAGACCATATTAAATTTGCCACCCTAAAAAGAACAAATTGCTTTAGAGATCAGGAATAAGCAGTAGTAATACCATTGCACTTTTATGCCAACCATGACAAATGCAAATCGATAGTGAAAAATGCACCAATACTTTATCCCTTCAACACTCATTCCAAGTCCAATGTAAGATTGGATAACAAGTTAGTCCGCATGTTACTTAGTGACATAGTAAACCTGTGTAGAATGGCTTAGAAAAAGTTTAATTTAGTTTATTTAGTCCAGAAAATTACTTTTGAACATTTTGGATGCCAGCCTCGAAGGTTTGCGGCTTTTATAAACTCTTTTGTATCAAATTAACTTTTAGATGCTTATGGAAAAAGAGTATATGCAAAGCTTTTTTATTTACATTTTAATCTTTATTTGTAAATAAAAAATTATAAATTCTATCCATATAAGAGTTTTTGATTTATTTTTGAAACATGTTCAAAAGCTTTTTTTGAAATAAAAACCCTTTTTTCCACATACCATCCAAATGGTAATAAAAAAAAAGTATTGATATATGTTTATCTTTTACAAATTAAAAGTAAGAGAATTTTGTGTGGTGTTCTCTTTTATCAGCCGTTTGTATTATTTTTTAATTTGATGTGACTTATGATAAAATTTAATACATATTTAAGAACTGATAAGTAAAAAACACCGATATTTAAAAAAAAGAAGGAATACAGAAAAATCTCAAAAAATTAAAAGCAAACGCTATTCAAAATGAGCCTCCAGTCATGAAATTCATAAACCAAGTATAGTACGACTCGTTTTTTACCCATGATACTGTTCGATGCAATCCAATCATACCCATCAAAATAAGTAACAAGAAGGTTCTTTCTGCAGTAGGTGTCCATATCCCTATTATCTCACGCAAAGTTAATAATAAGCATATTTCATAAATATGCACATATTAATCACACCTTATGGAATTAGGAGCATACAGAGAGCACGCTTGCGTTAACAATAGTCATTTGTTTTCAAAATTGAGCCATGCTTAAATATGCTTTAATTTATGAAAAATGAAGTTAAAATGTTATTAATGTTCTAACTTGTGCACAAGTGCCTATTTTGGAGTACAAAACTCGGTTTCTTAGTTCAAGGATGACTGGTGTGCTATAAAGGAATCTCAAAAGCCTAATCAAGTTTAGAAAGTGCTAAATTAATTGTTTGTTTTAATAGTTTCTAACTATAAACATTTAGTGATGATATATCATCGCTAAAGCATTTATAGCGACGACCTTCTGGTTTTTTATCGTCACTAAAGGTCTCAATTTTTTATAGAGGAATCAGTTTAGATTGGTACCTTTTCTTTATTTGCATATTGTTGTGTGGGAAAATGTGACGGATACCTGGACGAATGATAAAGCGGCACGTGGCCTTAACTACTCCCCACCAAGCAACACCCTCGACGTCTACAGATCTAAAGAGCCCAAGCACGAAGTCCAACGTAGGGCGACGACTCCTCCTGGCGTCAACAGATCGTGCTGTCGAGCTTGAGGTACAGAGATCCCTTGACCGCAGAATCAACCACCAAGAAGGACGTTTGGGCTAAGCGTTGCTGGCGACGAGGGGAACGTTCTCTGGAGGACGTGGCAAGTTGCGTACAAAAGTGGGGGACGTCTGCATGCATTAATGGCGAGCCCTTAAACCGCCCCACAGGGGACAGGAGAGTGTTACAGGGACGCATAGAGCCGTAATAGAAGACTAATTAGCTGAGTGAACAGTGCTGATTAGTGGGCTACGTCTGGGCCTAAAAAGGGAGAGCACTTGAGTGCTTCTACCACGAGGGAAACCCACCCAGCGAAGGAAGGCCAGTATAAAAGAAGGGAGACCCCCTACGAGGAGGGGGTTCAGATCCAAGAAGAGAAAAAAGAGAGTGAGAGATAACAATTGATGTAAATTGTAATCCCCTCAAAAAGAAATATACAACCACAGTAGATGTAACTCTAATTTTACAGAGTGAACCACTATAAAATTCCTTGTCTTCTTTATTTGTGCACATCTCAAACTATATACATTATACACCCCAAACAATAAATTTGCACACATATTCAACACATAGGCCAGTAATCCAAAGGGAAACCAAGAGGTAATCCGGCCGGTTTTTGTTGACGAGAAATCACCGTCAACAATTGGTGACTCCACTGGGGACCGAAAGCATTCGACCCCCAACAACATAGTTAGCAAGCGCACCTCTAAGAGAGACGGATGAAACCGCCATCCATCCAGAGAATAACGGGATGGAAGGAGATCTACGCCCGGTCAGAGACGAAGTCCTACCCCCAGACGCGCCACGGCCGGATCCTGTGCAGATGCAGGCCCAACTGACCACTCTAACTGAGCTGGTACGTGGGCTGATGACCGTGGTTGAGCGCTTAGACGGGAGGAACTCTATGCCGCCGTTAGAAGACATCCCGAGGCCGCAGAGACCTGCCATGGCTGGAAACCCGAACCCCGGTGACCACCCACACATCCAAAAGGGAACCGGGGACAGCGAGAATCACCGGGGCCCTCCTAGGCCTCGGCCTTCCCAATCCTCTGGCAGCCGTTTAAGGGCCGCCGGACTCCGAGTTCCCGAGGACCGGGTACCAAAGGGTCTGGGAAATCCCAAGGTATTACCCCAGAATCTAGGAGGAAACCCGCAAGGAGACTCGGGATCAGTACAGGCGGGCGGCCAGGCCAGGGGCGGACCCAACGCTCAGAGGGCAGAGGCGTCGAGAGTAGCTGGCTCGGCCATTTCAACAGAAGAAGCACGCGCCATCATGGGACGTATAGCCAGCTTGGAGCAAAAACTGACGGGGGACGTGGCAGGTCTAAAAAAAAACATAGGGCGAGTGGCTAAGGTGGTAAACGTCGACATCACGCCCAGCCGCACACACGACCATCCGTTTACCGAAGAGATAATGACACCCCTTCTCCCTAATAAATATAGGTCACCGTCGATCCCACCATATGATGGTCGAGGAGATTCCGACGACCATTTGGAGATGTACACAGGGCACATGCTTTTGCACGGGTACGCTGAGGAGATCATGTGCTGAGCCTTTCGGAACCATTTGACGGACTCTGCCCGAAGATGGTTCCAGACGCTGAGGCCAAACTCTATCTCGAGCTGGGAGGAGTTGAAGGAAGCATTTTCTCTCCAATTCATAGGGGTTAAAAAGTACGTCATCCCGAAGCAGAATCTGACGGCGATATACCAAAAGCCGAATGAGTCATTAAGGGAATGGCTCGTGAGATATGGGGAAGCGGTCGCCGGCACGACAGATATAACAGACAGAGAGGCCTTGATGGGGGCCTTATCTAGCATGAAGAAAATTACCCCCTTCAAAATAGAGCTGAACCGGAAACCCCCGTCCAGCTACAGGGAATTTTTGGCACGAGCGCAGGGTACATCAATGCCGAAGAGGCAGACGCAAATAACCCCGAGCACAGGTCCAACAAGAATAAAGTAAAGGGCCCGAACAAGGGTCGATGCCTGCGAAACAGGATGGGAAGAAGCGTCGAGGTGGAGGAAGTGAAGACAAGCAACCAGCTGCAACGATGAGCGCCCCAAAAGCCAAGAAGCCAAGGCAAGAGGAGAGCCGTAAGCGTCGGCTGTTTCAAAGGTACGATTCTTACCACGAACTAACGGTAGGAGTCGATGAGGTTTTTAACCAGGTCGGCCGAGGAAACCTGCTGCGCCGACCAGAATCGATGAAAACGGATCCCAGCCGGAGGAACCAAAAGAAATTCTGTAGGTTCCACGGCGATGTCGGCCACCACACCAACGATTGCGCCGACCTCAAGGATGAAATCGAGAGAGTAATCTGAGAGGGAAGGTTACAAGAGTTTAGGGCCGAACGAAGACCTCGAAACGACGGCCATGGTGGGCAAAATGACGGTCGACGCCGAGAGGAGAACCAACGCCCAGAGGATCGTAAACCCGTCGACGTCATACGAACTGTCCTCGGTGGCCCCTATATAAGAGGAGACTCAAGGAGGTCTCAGAAGGACTACGCCCACGAGGCCAGGGGGTTTACCAGGAGCGATTTTGGAGTGTTTCCGCTGTAAAAACCCCAAGGTACAGCCACACCGACGTGGCCTTTAACGAGGACGACGCCAGCGGAGTTCACTTCCCCTACAATGACGCATTGGTGGTGGAAGCCATGATAGGGAACCACACCGTGTGCCGAATCCTGGTAGACAATGGGAGCTCGGTGGACCTCCTATACTTCGATTGCTTGGAGAAAATGGGGATCCAAAATGAGCAGTTGGAAAAGACATCCAGGCCACTATATGGTTTCACCGGGGACTCCATCATCCCTCAGGGGACCATCCGGTTGCCTATAATTGCCAGAGAAAAACCCCGACAGGCTACTACAATGGCCAACTTTGTGATTATAAAACGAGGCTCCCAGTACAACGCCGTGATTGGGAGACCGACCCTTCAGGTGCTAAGGGCCATAACTTCCGTCTACCACCAAAATGTCAAGTTTCCTACCCCAAATGGCGTAGGCGAGATAAAGAGCAACCGGTACGAAGCTAGGGTTACATACTCTGATGCCTTGCGCGGA